ACGAAAATGGCTGACTCAGCGTCCCTTCAAGCAACTTGCGCAAACAAGCCTTTTCACAGCAAGTGCTCGATTGAGGAAAAAGACACCTCGCCCTGAATCGCAGACGCTGCTGACGGAACTCTCGCGCGCCTCCAGTTTATGCGAGGAGCGCAGGGCATGGCAAATGTTGACGATGGCTGCATTCACCGAGATAACAATCCGGGAGGCCATGTCCTGGCAAGGAAACTTGGCAAGCTTCGGCGATTTGGAGGCGAGGCCATGGGTGTCCGCAAGAACTTGGAATTCAAATCCGTCACCAATCCAAACCACCAACTACGGCAATCTGATAGTAGGTGTGTCTGCCTCTCCGCTTTGGGGTCCCCAACTTGGACGACAAAGGAGGGCCGGCTTCTGTTGTTCAGGCTGCCCCTGGGTGGCTTTACACTTGGATGTTCAGCCAGTCATTTAGCCACTTGGGTTATGACACCCTACTAAGGTTCGGGGGACTTGTGAGTGGGTTAGTTATAACTTAACCAAAGTAGCCTTTGTCACCTATGAACTTTGCCACGGGAATCTCCCTCGCTTCTCAGGGAATGACGTGGATGACCCCGAGAAAATCTATCCGGTTCCTATGGTTTCCTTCCTTCGATCCCCCAAACCGGCTGAGTCCTTGCCCTGCGGCAAGCGCCTCACGTCCAGGAATCCCTCCTGGCGGTTGAGAAGATGCCACACCTGGCACTTTGGACCTTTGGGTGGCCCCGTCTTTTTTGGAGGAACCCGCTTTTGACCATTGTTTTTCAAGAGCAACCAAGCAGTACGATTTTGAGGGTCCCTTCATATCCTTCATTTGGAGAAACACATGCTTAATCTTGGCCCCGGATTTTGGTACACCGGTTCTACCAATAGCGGGGTGGCCACAAAGGGAACCCCTCCCCATCAATCAACTGGGGGTTTACTAATCCAGGGTTCCCGTTACATGGTGGGATTTTTGGCCCCAAACCCAGGGTCCAACTCTTCAAGAAAAAAGGTCGGCCGAACCTGAAGCCTTGTCTATCGTCAACCCGGATTGATCAAGCTTGGTGGATTGAATAGGGGGGTGCTTCCCCAGAAAATTGTAGGATGCCCGAAAAACGGGACACCTCCAAGGAAAACCCACCAGGGGGTGATGAATCCTGGTTTGCCATTGGGATTCTTGGAACTTTGCTCAGATCGCCTGCAAAAGTTACGAGGTTTCGCTCCTCCAACAGCTGAAAGGCCCGCTCTTCATCCATCAGCGCGAAGCTCCGCGATACCGAGGAAGCGCCTCAACTGCTGCGCGCAGAGGCCTTTTCCTCTGAGTGCCCTCGTGTCCCCCCCCAAACTCACCCCGTCGCCTGCCAGGGTCAGCATGCACCAAACAGGCAGCATGGCTAAGCCAATGGCCTGAGAGATACTCATAGCCAACGTCAACGTGGGCTTTGTCAGTGGAGAGCCACTCTTAGACTCTATGCCTGCTGCCTCAGGTCTTGGTGCTGCTTGCAGTTCGGTGCTCGCCATGAGGGCCCTTGCTTGCCATGAGCCTCGGCACTGCTGGGAACTGTGGCTGGCCTGCTGGCCTCGGCACTCCAAAACTGGCTCTACCCATAGGCTGACAGAGCGCGGCGACAAAGACGCATGAATGTAGGCAGCTTCTGTCACCAATGGTCAGACCCATGAGTGCGGTCCTAGTCAACCCTCATGACGTCATTCCTCGGCGTGCTGCACATTCTTCATTTTGCGCAAATGCTCCCAAAAGGCGTTCTTCAGCCTCATCCTGAAAGGCACATACTGGGCTGACAAGGGAACCGAGGCGTATGAAGAAGGGCTCTAACCACCCTGCGATCCCTATCATAGTTGGCCTCTGAATACAAGCCGCGCCGGCTGCTTCCAGTAGCCAGGATCTGCCATGGATCCTGGCATCAGCCAACTTGATTTCCAAATTCAAAAAGGCAGACTGGGTTCTTCAACATGGGGGGGATCCCCAATCCGAAATCCATAGTGCCACCGCAAAGCGAAACCGTGTGGCATTGAACTTAAGGATTGATTTTGACCACCTCAGTCGATGAGTCAGGTATGGCTCCGTGTGCCGAAGACCGGGGAGAGCTGTAAAAATGCCCATGAGTCTTGCGCAAGCCTTCCCAATGAGGAACCCTTTCTGGATGGTTGAACGGGAACTACCAAAAATAACAAGGCAGCCAACCATTCAAGGCTGGGCTATCGTCAGATCCCCTGCTAAAGGTGTAGCTTTTAGTGGCTTAGTGGACACTACCCCTAAACTAACTAAAAGCCAAAAAACATACGGCTGGGAGTCAGCAAGGAAACCAACCACCGGCCCCCTTTTTGAGTGGCCCAATCCTGTGCCGGCCTTTCATCTTCTCGAAGGGGTTGGGGAACCAGCCCTCAGCGCTGCGCCTGAGAAGCATCAAGGGGTGTCGTTTTCGAGGGAGCCGGGTGTCCTTCTTTAACACAACAAAACAATTAAAACAAGGTACCCTCAAAAAAAGATGAGCCGCCCAAATAAAAGCCACCACCCCCCATAGGCAACACCCAAACCTGGGGATGTCTCCCTGGTCACGGGCGAAATCCATTTCGCACCACTTGGAAACCATGCGAGATCATTGTTTGCTGGTAATTATTTTCTGGGGAAACACTTTTTCCAGGTTTCTTAGTTGGTGCAAGATTTCTTGTCAATCCACGGTGTTAAGCCAGGAACCAGGAGTATCACCCGCAGCTCCACTCAACTGCTCGCAGGTTTTGGCCGCCGTTGCGCGTTCGGCATGGTGAAGTGAGCAGCTCCGCGAAGGCTGGAGCTACGGACTTGGTACACCCGCTAAGGCTGAATAGTACCAAACGCATTTACAAAGTCTGTGGGGTCCCTTGTGGACATTCCGTTAAAGCCGGGTTCAGTAAAGTGACATCCTAACTTTAGCCTAATGCTCGCTTAAAGGCAACATAATCAACATATTCTTTGAGAACTCAACATCCAAGCACTTTAGTGGACCCGGCAAAGCCGGCACTGTCTCCGCGTTCGGCTGAAGTCAGTTGCCTAAGATTAAAATGAGTGCAATCGCCGAGCGTTTGGTTACGCAAGGCCATGATTGCAAGTCTAGACACTTGGCCAGCAAGCAGCGCCCAATTTCCATCAACCCGGGTCCCTTGAGATGTTGACACAGGGCGACATGGATCTTCCAGATTCTCAACAAAATGGGAAATGTAACCCCTTCACCAAAATTAATCATCAAGGGCAAGTCTCTGTATGCCTAACCTTTCTGGGTTGCTTCCCATGCAACAAGGTGCCTCTCACGCTGCATCTTCAAAGTTTGGGGGGCACCGCTCACACCCGGGTCACTGCTCGGCTTGCCCGCTCCACTCACTTGTTGTTTCAGATACGTCTCCGGATTCGGATACTCCCTGAGTCGCTTCTGAGCCGGATTCCTTGCGAGGGCTGGTCCAGGGGCTCCAAGCCGGATCTGTCTCGATCAAATCGTGGAAGCTGATCCGGCGGCGGCAGTCCTCAGCCCAGTTGATCTCCATGGGATAAGGGCGCCCCTTGTCTTGTTGGCTGATTTGGCTGGGCAAAACCGATGGTACCGTTTTGGGGTAGGTGCGCCACCCATTTTAGTCTATTTTAGTGGGGATTGGGATGTTCACTGGGGTACGGGTTAGACCAAAACTTAGCCTCTATCTCTGTGGAGGTTAAAACCGGCCAATAGTCATGTAACAAGCCACGTCACTCTTCATGTAAGTATTCATGTAAACAAAAACAGGCCTTAAAGAAACACGTAAAATATCATGTAAACAATGTGTGCCTCAGTGTTGGAAGCTGGAAGCTGCATCATTTGCCATGTAACAGGCCTGAACAGCTCCATAACAAGCGCCCAAGGTGTTGATTGAATGATCTTTGTTAAATCCTTAGCAGCTACCGTGCGAATGTTAGGAGGCCAAACATCTTAGGTCTTAAACACGTGGTTGGTAAGCCTAAGCATGCGTGAGCAGAAGCAAGGGCAATTCCTGAGCATGCTGTTGCAATCTTCGGAATGGCTCCTAGGTACGCAGCTCCAATGTCTCCGAACGGTTCAGAACAGTTCAGGGTATGATGTTGCAATCCCTCCTGAACGGTTCAGCACGGTTCAGGGCATGCTGCTTGCAATTCTTCCTGAACGGTTCAGAACGGTTCAGGGTATGCTGCTGCCGTGACTGCTGAACGGTTCAGAACGGTTCATAGTATGATGCTGCAATCCCTCCTGAACGGTTCAGAACGGTTCCTGGGAAGCTTGAGTGACGAACGGTTCAGAACGGTTCAGAACGGTTCTGAACTATACGCCTGCTCTGCGCGCTGCTTGCTAGATGGGCTCCAGAACGGTTGAGAACGGTTCAGGGGCATGGGTTCCAATGCCTCCGGAACGGTTCAGAACGGTTCAGGGGCGCGCGTTCCAATGCTTTCGGAACGGTTCAGAACGGTTCAGGGGCATGCAGTTTGGTTGCCACCGTTCCTCGGAACAATTCGCCAGCACGCGGCTGGCGGTTCCTAGTCCTAGGTAAAAGGTCAGGCCGGCATCGGAACATCGCAAGCGATCCGAAATCTCAAAGCACAAAAAGGCAAAGACTTGTCTGAAATTTACGCGCAAATTGACGCAACCATTTACGCAGAAAAAGGCTGGGTGAACCGTTCTGAACCATTCAGGGGACACATTTTGAGCATGGAGGTCCGTCCGCAGAACTGGCGTGCACATGTGACAGCCGCTCCTCTTTTCCGGCCTTTGCTCAACTGGGTTTCTGGAATCGGTTCTTGGATTCCCTGGGTCTTGCGGACAAACGAGGCAAAGCCGCGGCAAAGAGAAAAAAGCAAAAAACAACGCGCGACAGCACCACAACGCGGCAAGCAAAGCTGCAAGAAGGCAAGGCTTAAAATCGTCCTTTGCAACTCCTGACTGGTTGGATCAGCGGCCACGCGGAGACAACCTCGTAGAGTCGTGTGTGCATGTGCGTTTGTGTGTGTGGGTGGTGTCTGTGTGTCTGTGCGCCAGGTGCATGTTAGGAATATAGACGTTAATCTTGATGTTCTTCAAGATTGGCCCTCGCAAGGTCGCCCAACAAAAAGCTGACTAAGTCTTGATTGTTGGAAAGAGCCCTCAAAATACTCTTAATGTTGTTCACGCAGCTGGCATAACCAATGACCGGACATGCCGGACGTTCTTTGACAAGACGCAGTGTTCCTAGTCCTCGGCTCCTACAACATCTCCTTTCTCACGTTTTTGCGTCCGGAGCTTTTTGGCTTTGCCAACGCGACACATGCTCGCGAGCAAAAACTGTGGCTCGCAGCTACCAGTACGCATGAACATTCATGTCAAAGTTGTCGCGGCTCTTCCAATGGTTCATGACTCATGACGCTTTGCCTTCCTTCAGTGATATGAGCAGGTTAAATTCGCGAAGGGGAAGATTCTCGCCAATACACATCCCTGTCCATGAGGGACACTAAGTCCAGCTCACGCAGGGTCACTCAATATCGGGCAAGCGAAAATGAATTACAATTAATTTACCTCACTATTTACCATATTATTTACGGACTCTTCCTGTTAAGGGCCAGGCCAACCAGAAAGCTTGATTTACTTACGTGATTGTTTACGCTTTTATTTTCGGGTACGGCGAAAACGACAGACCCCCTATTTATAGAGGCAAAGTTTTGGTTTAAGGTACGGGCTTTTGACCCATGGCAATTTAAAGGGAAACAAAGGCAAAAGAGTGCCACAGGGCAGCTGGGAATCGGGGCAGCATCCGTCCTGACACTCTAAACATATCAGCACCAGGCTCGTGCGGCCAGGATGCAGGCAGCCCCGGCACTGCAACTCCAGCAACAAGTCAACGTGCTGTCTGCACAGAAAGCACTCCATGCTCCTGTGAACCGGGCGCGGACTAGTTTGGGCCAAAGCTTCAGAAAGCAACTGGGCATTGCCCAAACCAGCAGCATACAAGCCAACTCATGAGATCAGCCTCAGACTCAGGCGAGAGAAAGGCCAAAGGTGTGTGACGTGACACACGCAGTGCACTGCAGTTTGAGAGGTCAGAGCTCAAAACGCGAAAAAACCACACATCGCGCCTCACTCGCGATCGGGCCTGGCTATTCCATTGCCTGCGCAGTGGATTCCGTGGATCTCATGAATCCATCCCAAGGCTGTCGAGCCACGAACAACTATTGACTTGTCCAGCGGGCTGGGTGTGCTATGGAGGACTTTTCCACCGGACCTCGGCCTATCAGGCAGCGAACTCATGTCTTGGGGCTCTTTTGTCGAAAGCTCAGCACTGGAGACCGGTCCCACCCGGCGCGGGTGCCTTGAGGACACCCAGAGTGTGTCCGACAGCCTGACCGAAGAAACCAAAAGATCGGCGGTCGCGAAAAAGGAATGCCCCGTGGCCCTTTGTGGCTGTGGGAGAGCACCGCATTCCAGCAAACTGGATCCATATTCAAGTGGCATCCTCCAGAAATACCAATCTCTTGCTAGACAAAATTGAGAACGGGCCACTCAAAAAAATGCAAGCTCTGAAGGAACTCAAGGAACCCCTCCATCAGTCGCCTCAGCAGTACCAAGGCAGCAGCTGCCACCTGCGCCAAATGTCAACCGGCCAAACCCTGAGATGGGACAAATCGCCCAACACTTGAGTGGTGTGCCTTGGGTTTGTATCTTTTCAACCCCCCGCCAGCACATACGTCTATATATATATGCACAGATATATATATATATATGGTACCCCCCCCCCATGGACCCTGGTTTGGTGCGGTTGACCTGTATTTTCTAGTGTGTTATGCTTCTTTTTGCTTCTTGGATTTGTGTCAAATTGGGGGGAGGGTCATACATGTATATGATACGCATGCATGCATACAGATGTGATAAAAGGCAATGACATCAGCACCTGCAATCTGAAAGAGTTTGAATACATCCAAGAATACAAGAACAACTCAGACATGTTTAAAAGTTTTTAAAAATTCTGGGATTCAAGATTCAAGAATGTGAGAACATATTTTCTGGGAATCTTGAATCTTGAATCTTGAATCCCATAATTTTTTAAAGTTTTTTTTTTTTTAATATCTGGATTCAATATTCAAGATTCAAGAATCTGTGAAAATATTTTCTGGGAATCTTGAATCCCATAATTTTAAAAAGTTTTAAAAATTCCAGGGTTGTCCCAATACTCTCGGTGTTCAATAAGATTCTCGGAAAAGTTTTCCGTGAAATATTTCAATCCAGTGGTAACGGATATTCGAGGTGATAGAACAACTTGAACATTTTAGGGATTGACCAGGATGGATGATTCTCAGGAAAGTGGTGGTTTGTGGGCTCCTCAATATTGAATCCCCAATCCAGTGGTAAAGCACTTTCAAGTGATAGAAGAACTTGAATGCTATTTGGGTTTGGCCAGGATTGACAATTCTCAGGAAAGTGTTCTGTGTAATCTTCAATCCTGAATCTTCCATCCGATAGTAGCAAATGTTCAAGTGCTTAGCGA